TCAAACGGCAGGATTTCTTAGTATGTGCTGGCTTGTGAAACACGTCAGTACCGTACCTGTTCTCCTTTCTCGTAATCTGCGCGACCAGAAAAGGCATGGGGTTGCATTACTGTATTTCCTTCGTGAAGATAACTTGCTCTGGATAGAGAATACTAATGCAAACGAGGATGAGTGTTAGGTTATGTTTTTCGTAGATGGCGAACACGTCATCAACATAACTTCTGAACAATATGGAGTGGATGCTACTGAGAGGTGGAGAATGCCAGAGTTTCTAGGTGTTTCATGTAGTATTTCCCTAAACGTTTATGTTAGAATTATGCACGAAAGTGTTAAGTTTGTTAAAACTTTGATATACCAAATTAATGTTACATTCAACATTGAATAATCTTTGCAATTTTCACTGAGATTTCATATTAAAGGAGAATCCAGAAAGGTTTATGTTTGAAGCTGGTATATCTGACATTATTTTGATCTGGCAGTCATTGCCATTGCATATACAAAAATATGAAAGAGCACTGGACAAGTTAATGAGGAAGGAGGTTCGATATTAATGCGAAACAAACTGGCTTAATGCCTAGCCGGTCAACCACAGCCTCCATCTTTGCTCTAAGATCAGTCTCCAAGGCAGAAGCAGTAAGGGTGCTTAGTAAGCAGTAAGACTAAAAAGTCGGTCGAATAAACGTGACTCAAATGTAGAGAGGAAAAGGCGTACTACACGACAAGAAATGAAAGATGCACAGAATGATGGTAAGACCGGTACTCCCGTACAAGGCGGAATGTTGCCTACCCTAAAAAGACACGAGAAACAGCTGAAGTCAGAAGAAATGTGAATTTTCAGATGGGTGTGTGGTGTTAGCACAAAGGACCAAATCCGAAATACCTCCATACGAGGCGCTCTAGGTGCATCATCAATTTCAGATAAGCTTACAGAAAGCAGGATCTTCAATCAGACACGTGGAAAGAAGACCCAACGAGTACGTCTGAAAAATGATTCAAGCAGTAATACTGAAGGCGAAGAAAAAACGGAACAACAGAGACAAGGTGATACAATGCCGTAAAGAACAACACAATTTAAATCGGTGAGAAGTGACCGAAGATATGACTGAAGACCAAAAAACGTGTAGGCTGTGGACTCGAACGGCGGATCCCTATTGAAGAGAAGGAAAATAGCAAATCCCTATTAAAAATTTATATTGCATAAGGTTGGCATTACGTTTCATTTCTTATTTAATAATTTTGCAGCTGCAGAGTTACATTGCTTTGTCGACTAAAGTAGTTATCATTGCCGTTTCCTATCTGTACGGAGTGGAAATTAAAATTTAAATATTTATCTATGTTAGCAGATATCTGATAAACTCCCGCTGTATAAGAGTTAACAGAGTTAATTAGATACCAAGAAACAAAGGACTATTAATATTTTTTATTTCAACAGTTAGTTCAACTTTCAGCGGAAAGGCAACTGAGGATGTCGAAGCTGTCTAGATTTTGCTTGAACACTGTGGAAACAGACGGCAAAAGGTCAACATATCCATCGAAGAAATTTTTTAGTAACTTATCACGGTTCATTACCGTGGACAGACTTTCAAAATTTTCCGTAATTCCTGCACGGATGTGAAAAGGTGGAAGACCATGAGCATTTCACTGATATGCTTAAAAGATAGCCACTGACGGACAAGCACACAGACATCACGACTGGTAATCAAGTCTGAATCTGTGACCGAAAGTTTCACTTCAGGAGGTACAGGGCAAAACAAGCAGCAAAATGAGAGGCAAGATGAGGATTCTGTTGCCGAGTTACTGAGACGGAAACGCGCCTGAAAACAACACGACAGTCTTAGCCATAATCTTACCTATAAGAACGTTCGCGCGACTGCTGCGCACGTTGAACTGACGTTCCAAGTACTTGGCCATAAAGCCGGAGAATCCGGTGATTAATAGACTGTCGGCCGCTGCCGCCAACGTTAGAAACACAAACGTTTTGTTGGTGAAGAGATGGCTTAAAGCACCGGGAATATTCCTGATGTCGCTCCACAGCTGCAATTTCAGCGCCTGCTCCTTGTTATGCACCGACACGTGCGTCGCATGCTCACTGTCATCCAGCAGCACCACCGCCTTGGACGCCATTTTGTCCTGCTCGTCCATCTTCAGGCGCCTAGTCTGCCACTTGAGCGCATCTGCAGAGCGAACGATATAACAATCAAACTTCCAATACTATGATCGAATTCAAGCATATAATCAAAAACATTAATTTCAAATGCTTTCTGAAAGTCTGCAAAGGATTAAGATCTATAAAGAGACAGCACTCGTGACATTCTAGGGTTACTAGCAAACACTAGCTTATGATACCGCCGGCCAGCAAAGAACAGCGGCGCAATCGCGGTCTCCTTGCCATCCCAACAAACTACTTCAAACAGGCCACTGCTGTACAGATATATGATAACTGCTGTGCCTGAATACACCACCACACTGCAGTATCGCGTCGAAGGAAGTATGTTCGAACACAAACAATATACGTCGACTTGCAAATATATATATACTGCAATATACCTCAATCAGTATGGATATTTGCCTCTAGACTGCGGTACAGCAGTTGGTGTTCGAACCCATTTTTGTTCAACCTGAAGAGCGATATTGTAGCACCTATGCATTACACAAGCATTACATCGGAGCCATCGTTTACTAAGTAGGGCCCCTAATCCGCTATGAACAAGGATACGGTGTGATTACGCCATGCACATTCCTAGTGAAAGTATAAATAAAGCAGTCAATTACTTCCTTTCTAAACTCCCCACATTTTGCAAGGCGATGCAAGCCGACGTGTCGGCTTCCGGAAAACAAGAAATTGCCAAGTATGTTTCCTGTAAAGCATCCTTGATGATAGCTTCTGTGAAGGAAACTTAAACGTTGAAATAAAACGAAACTTTTGTCGCGTCTAACTCACTGCGTTAAAAACACTGCGGAGCTTAAGTGCCATTAACATGTTTTGAAAATGTACCTTGGATGATTTACCTCACATGTAACTCTAATCAGATGGTGTCGTCGTTGAAGACGACGAAGTTGAGGTACTTAAACTGGCTGACTTTCCCCACTGTTTTATTGCCATGATTCACTAGTGGATCGCCATGCCGGTCGAGTTCCTCATGACTTTTAATTTCCGGGCGCTGAAGACGAAGCCGACTATTGCAGGCGTGTTGCATATGGAAGCTGTCAGGTGACAGAGTCCGTTTCACGTGCTGCTTACCAGGTCAATATCATCTGCGCAATCCATGTCAGCATTAACGTCTCTGCTAAGGTCAGCACTGTTACAGAGAAGAAAGTCTTGAACAGTTCTGAATAGGAAAAACGAAGCACATCTTGACGAATTTCACAGCGAACTGGCAATTATTCAGACAGCTCTTCTTCGTCTCCAACACCAGACAGTTTTTGCGTACATCCCTTCCAAAATAGAAATGATGCGTCCAGGTATTCCATAGCATTTTATGGTTCTACACGTGGTTTGAGGATGTGCTTAATCAAATTCAGTCTTAAAGTTGAGGAAACTGTCATACCAGAGAAGGTAAATGGTCGGTATTGCACAGTAAACCTACAAGAGTAAAAATATGGTATGGGCAAGAGTACCTCATCTGGAATCCTGTTTGACTTAGGCAAATTAACTGCATTCAAGTTCTTCAATGATCCTAAGGAGTTTAAGATATTGGTCTAAACAGCGCGAATTCTTGATTCTTGCTAAACATTCGAAAGAGGATTTCACTAGGGAATCATGTCATTAACGACCTAAAAATACGCACTGATCTGTCGAAAGAATGACTTATATCTGGCACTAGTATCAAAGAACAAAGTAACTGCCACTTCATCACTAAAATAAGTCTGAAGAATAGCTCTGTGTTATCATTGTACGTTACCTATCGATAAAGAAAATATATCTTAATTTTATTTATTAAATATCGCTTAAGAGCATCGGCACTGTCACCTAGAACATAGTCGATTTTTCATGCCGTATTACAAGGGCAAATCAGAAACTACCGAATAAGGATTAATCTGCGCCACAACAAACGCGTCGCTGTCGGATGACACAGAGATATCAAAACGATACTGCTGTGACGATTTCAACCTAATACCTGTGGATCTGACAGCGGCGAAACTTCTGTTATGCTATTCTGCCAATCTGCACATTCATTCATTGAGTCTCCTGCTCCATTCGAATCTCAATGGCAGCAGCATCAGGTGGTCTGTCCAGCTGATTGGGGTTGCTCAGTTGGTAGAACGTCAAACTCATAAGCGTGAAGTATCATGTTTGACAATTTGCTAAGCCGCTCGCCTTTCTTCCTTTTAAATGAATACCAATTCGTGGGAAGGAAAAAGGACCCTATACGGTAGTGGTGACCAAGGCGCAGATACGGTTATTGGAGAAAAAGAACATAATGCTCCTGGCTGATGACACGAAAACAGATGTCCCTAAGGCAATTCCATAAGAGACTGCTTTTCCAATTCAATGTACCTTGTCATAACCTAGCATTATCGTCTATAAACAGTTTAACCAGCAGCACTGACCGAATGCAACCCAAACTATCCAGCTGCAGGAAACGTTACGGGCAATCGAAAAAATCGCTGGATCAAGAACTTTTACACCTCAGCTCCAACGTAAAGACGCTACCCAAAATATACCGAATATTTTTTGTCACAAATATCACAGCTATATGAGCCAATAACAAGGCACCTCAGTAAGGTGGAGTTTGCAGTCTGCTACAAGACCGGAATAACCTGGGTAACCTCTGATTCAAGAAGAATCCTCCCATTCACTGCGAAGAGGCGCTAAGGTTAAAAATACATTTATCTGCAGTTTGCCACGGGCAGCTTGACAGTTCTGGTATTGTTCAATACGCCACTTTGGGGAGAGATACGTCCATCAAGCAGACGTTTTAGTACTTAATAGAAACCATTCAATACTCGATAATCTGAAAAAAGGAAAAGCTTAGAATCCTAGTAAAAACATTAAACAAGCGAAGCTTTCGGAATCCACAACGGTATATTTTTCAGAGCACAAATTAATGATGTCCAGAGGAGGTGCCTTAATGACATATAATCAAACTCATAGTGCATATAGTGAAAACAAGGCAACGAGGAATATACAACAAGCACGGCAAAAGGTGAAAGAAAATGAGCCATAAGAAATGAAAGGAAAGGATGAAAAAAGGAAGCGATAAACAAAATGCAAAGAAATACATAAAAGGAGATTAGAGAGCAGCAAATAAATTACTGAAGATGAAGTTCTGTGTGAAAGACTGTTGACGCTTAATTTCTTGTTGATGAAGGATACACCAAATGCATTAATCAAGGCAGATTCGCGTATCATGAGAATGGCAGTGGGGCAGTGACGCTGTCACAGTCTAAAATCTACATCTCATTGCTATCAATACTCGAGAATTTTGTTATTGTGAAACATGCTACTGACCACCTACGCTATATCAACAGCAACAAAGTAAAGTTCATAGACAGCAATAACACTACTGCTCCACCGCTGGCTTCAAGATATGCGAATTAACCATCATTAAAGCATTTGGTGAAGCCTGCGTAAATCAGGAATTAAGCTTGAAAGACCTTTACCATGTCGCAATCTCGTCTTCAATAATTCACTTTCTACTTCTTAATCTCCCTTATTTTATTTTGCTATTCTTCATTCGTTTATCCCTGACTTATTTCATCCTCTCTTTGCTTCATTTCTGTTACCTTTCGTCCCTCAGTTTTTCTCGTTATTTTCCTTGCCTATCTCATGTTTCTTCGTTACAATTCTATTATTTAACTGCAGATCTTTGTCATCTATGACTATGATATCTCGTTGTAAATTATTAATTCGTGCTGAAGAAGGAACATCATTGCGGGTTCTGAAAGCTTCACTTATTATACATATTTATCCAGAAATCGAACCATCTCTTTCCTCATCACGCATTAAAAGCTTGTTTTCTCTACGAATTGAATCGATGCTCTGACAAAATCTTTTGGAACAGTAACACTGGGTGTGCAATGAATAAGTTAGTTAGGCCTGTGATAAGCAAGTGCTGGAGGGCTAGCACAAACTTGATTCAAGCATCCGCAGTGACGTCAAATGGCCCAGATCTGCCATTCACGCGTTTAAATGTTGTTCATGAGTTGCGCTACTTTTGTCTTGTTTCCATTTTCGCATTTACTTGTTTACAAGAGGGCCTTTTACCGGTCTTACAATTTTTGACCTGATAATAATAACGGTATGGCAGCGAAACATGAAGGCAGTAAAATCTTCAACAGAAGCTTCGATTTGTGCTTTAAACTGTGGATCGTCAAATTCGTTGCAGAAGCCTGCGATTTCCCGAACCTTCCGTAAAAGCTTGAATCGCGCCAGAGATAGACAAAAATTAAAATTAAATGAGTGGAAAATAAGTATGAAACATTTGCATTATCAGAATTCCTTCACTCCACGACATAATCATATCTGGTGTCATTCAATGGTAGAGTGATAATCACCGTTTCCATGGCATCAGCCAGAAATGCCTCACCTCGTGAAGGTAAAATGTTCAGCTATACGAAAAGCAGTGTGTAGTCTGATCTTCCCTTCCCACAGAGTATTTTGTTGTCAACATGAAAAACAAAACGAGATGGTGGAATGTTTCACACGTCTATAACGTTTCACACAGTTATATCGCCTAGAAATGCTGAAGTAGAAAAAAACTGAGGTAAGAGGTGAACGTAACAAAGCCTAGCTTTGCTTTACATTTAAACCACCCACGACAACCCCATCTTTGCACAAAATTTCGTCCAGAACATACAGAGAATGTAGTCTCCATAGACCTGGAAAAGATTCACCAAATAATACCGGCAGATATGGCCGAGTAGAAAGAAAAAGCTGAATCCAGGAAATTATATTAGACTTACTTTTGATGCGCACAACTGAATAGCAAATACCGTTCGAAGTACATAGGTGAAACAGAGTTCGCTAGTTTGACCAGCATTGAGCCAATTTATGCCTTTAGTGTACTAACTATCTACTTTGGGGGAAGAAATTCCGCACTGCACGCTTTATTTGGGCGTGATGTAGAGTGATTAGCAGATCGGCTTTGAACTCCGGCGGTGGCCGCTTCGAATTTGCTCAAGGGAAATCTTTGCCTGTAACGTGAATTCCCTTGCACAAGGAATTAACTCACGTTGCTTCGGCGCAACCAACCGAGAAATAGTTAGTAAATCGACTTGCGAATAACAGAGGCAGCATCACACTCTGGCGTGCCACCTGATCTGCTGTCTCTCTGATGCGAATGCCCTTTGTAGCTGCATTTCGACTTGACGTGGGCGATAGCTGACTACAGAGTGCAATAGTCAGCAGAATGTGTAAACGCGATTTCGATTTATGCAGACAACGTAGTACGTTGTAGCGAGAGCAAAATGGGGTGTAAACGAAAGCACGAGTGGTGGACAGTTTCTGAAAACCTCTAACTCCGCTTCAGTATAACTAGGGCGACAGGCTGTTTTGGCAGGGAGAAGTGGAACATCGTCAACGAAACGATGAAATTAAAGCGCAAAATCTGAGAACGCAAGCACTCAGATATTTGTGTCAATCATACAAGATAACAACGAAAACGACAGCGAATTAAGAAGTCGATCAGAAAACGAACCGCTGAAACAGAGACAGAAGTAGGCAGCATGCTGTGTGATAGGGAAAATGCTCTCTCGAGCACAGGGAAAAGAAAGATTAACAGCAAAGTTGCAAAAAAAACTGGATCTTTGTAACGAACTAAATGCTCAGCCATTCTTACGAGACATAAGCAACAGCTCGATTCCGTAGAAACATGAAAACTGAGATAATTCATGATGCCGTGATCGTGAATACATCTGAAAAATCCTAACGGTATTAGTGCAGTACTAATAACAGATATGCTATGTACGGCAAGCAGGTTCTGTTAATTTAAAAAAGTTAAGGTTACGTGAAAAGAAAATCTGACGAGCATGTGGGAAATACAATTCAGACGCTGATGCTGTCATAGAAGAAAAAATAAAAACCAAACAGTTGGCGAGATGCTGTAAAGCACAATATAGAACTAACCGTAACGAAGATTTAACCATGAATCGAAGAGCGTGAATGAAACTCACTTCAACAACGGATCAAAAGGAAATGATATATTCCACAAAATGGAACATGAGATGAAAAGATGTAGATGTGAAAGAGAGAGTGAAATGGACAAGAAGAAGAAGAATAGGTGAAAGAAAGAAAAAATAAACTATTCTTAGCTCAAAAACTAAAGCCTTTTTAGGCTGATTAATGAACAGAAAGACAAGGAATTTCTATTTACAGGAGACATTAGCGTGGATTTTCCAACTGCGATTTCAAAATACTGTTTAACCGTTGGAAGTTCGGTCTTCATTATACTTACACAATGGAGCCGATTGCATCCTCGTTTTCATTAAGATAATGGTGAGAGAGCTGATAACTATTTCCATTTCATCAGCCGGAAGTGCCATAATTTTTAAAGGCAGAATCGACAGCAGCTATGTGACAAGCACAATCTGCATTCTCCTGTTTCCTTCTCACTCAATTATCAGAATGGTACTCGTTTACCAATTTCGGAAGAAAAAAAACGCAAATGTTCCTAACCAGAGCTAGAACCTGGCACCTCTCGACTCTGAGTCCGATGCTCTACCGACCGAATAACCACGGTTTGAAGCAAAGTGTGGTAGATTTTTTCCCGCGGCAGAAATCGAACTCGGCACCTACGAAATTCAATTTCGAAGCCCACTTCTTAAGCACTTTGTCACCACACCACGAGGTGGTGGTTCCTGATCACAACGGTGTGTACACATGTGAATGCACGCAATGCAACTTTGTTGAACTTTATTACAAAAAAAGGTATTAACAAACTGTAATACGAGTTCTGCTGTGCAAGACGCATGATAAAGTGCTCAAAAAACAGCATTGCAGATAAAGGCAAATGATGCACAACGCTGAGCGAAACGCACTGCATACCACGCACATAAAGACTTAAAACTGTACCTGGCAATAAACGTGGAAAACTGAGGATAGGCAAAACAGCGAACAGTGACAGAACAGCAGCGACCAGAAAACCTATCCACCAAGCTCCTATCCACTCCGGATCACTTTCATCGATCTCTGGTATTCTAAACGAATACAGCTGCTTCTACGATCAATAACTAAATCATACGTACGTTGTGTCCTGTCGGGCGGATAGGAAATCTGTATGAAAATGCAAAAACGTTGCCGACAAGAAAAAGCCAGCCGCTGGTCCGATTATGACGCATGTGTAAAAAATACCTATGAATACGCACAAAAGAATCAGCAGACGTAACATCTACACACAACACAATAATACAGCAAATGTATCAGATAATTCCTTCACTACCTGCTCTATTAGTTGTAGAAAGAGTTAATACTGCAAAGTTGCTGTCCAAAACGGCTAGTGGGGTAAAATATGACCTATTCAGTGGACATTCCGGCTTACGAATCACGTTGGCTATTTAACACTGCAAATATGTTAACGCCGGAAAATCAGTCAGCCCATACGACAATGCGGTGCCGTGCTCTTGCTTCCGGAAAGCCATGCAAAATTTAACCAAGTCAGGGCCTAGTGATATTTTGGCAGAATCGACTTCTGAAACAGTCAAACAAAGAGCAACGTGGTGATGTCATAACGTCATGAAACCCGGAAACGCATATTTTTTATCCTCTGAGCAAGCAGGTAAGGAAGTCGGCTTCCTCAACAGGTGAACAACTAAATTCTGTTCGAAATGATGCAAACAACCACCAAACTAGATCACGAGATTCGCAGGTATGGGCTAGCCATCCGACTGGAAATCGTAAAGCGTTGTGTCCAATAAAATGGTTTTATCCTGTTTTTCAATAAACAGAAGGAATCAAATATGGGAACCACG